GAGCAGGAAGTGGATCTGGGCCTCCATCTCCCCAACAGCTGTCATAAGCCACTGCAATTGTGGGGATGAGCAGGAAGGACCCCGAGGACTTTGCCTTGGGACTGTGAAGGAATGGAAAACAATCCAGGAGGGAATGTGCATTAGGACTTTCATATTTATTTCTCTGTGCTATGTAGGTTCTGCCTTCTTCCATGCAGACCCAGATTATGCACAAAAAAATACTGTAAATCATCTTGAATATCTTTGGTGCACTGGAAGAATTTCGGATCTGAAGAGCTTTCACAATGGATTGTTTTTTCAATTGCAGTAGACCAGCACCAACCCTAACCCTAACCCTAACTCCCAAGCAGCCTCAGCTGGGCAGGGGATGGGGTCAGGGTGGGTAGACCCCATGGGTTTCTGGGGGTGAGGGGGAATTCTGGGAGTTGAAGTCTACACTGAAGTCCAAGTGGCTGAATTTGAGAAACATTAATCTAGGCATTTACATTGATAATTGTTGATCATTTGGAGAGTTGCATAGCCCAGATCCCCATCCTCCCAAGCTGGCTGAGGGGCATTTCTACCTTTCTTTGTGCTGACAACGCTGTGATCCTCTCTGGGATCCCCATTGGGCCTAGGAGGACATCATGAACCCAGGCTCCATACTGTCAAGACCCTCAGCTGGAGATGAGTTACTCAAACCACAAAATGATGGTGTTTGCCAGGCCTAAAACTTATTCGTGGCACATAAATAAAGTTTGCATTGTACAATTTTCATGCTTTAAATACCTGGAGGGGAAAGTATTTTATGCCTCAGTTAGTGGAAGGGTGTTCTGTGTTGGCTTGATTGCACAAAAAATTCAGCAGCCATCTTATGATTTTAGGGAATGGAGATGAGGGGGGATCAGCAGTGAGATTTTCTGTGGAATGATGGTGAGCCCCATTTTGTCCTGGGTTCAAAACCAATTCCTGCTCAGATGCCTTAACTCTGGGACTGGAGGGAGAATCTCCCAGCTGGGGGCTGAGCAGGAAGATCCATGGGGGCTGTGTGGTGTCATTCCTGCTCCCTTCACTGTCATTCACTCCCTTTGACTCTCGACATCTCCCATGGCCTCTGGTCTCATCTGGATTCCTTCTTCCCCCCCTTTCCCTCCCCCATTTTACAAAATAAAAGTTTGGGGGTCCTGCTTTCCCTTTGGCCCTGCTTTCCCTTCCCTTCCTCTCTCAACCCCCCTCCCCAACTTCTCTCCCCTCCAACCCTTCAGGTCCTCCAGAAGCTGTTCCTTTACCTCTCAGTTGTTCCCTCTTTCCACCCTTGGCCTCCCGTTCCTCTTCCATCATCTCCCTCTTCCTTTCTCCCTTCTTCCTCTGCCCCCCAGCCTCCATGTCTCTTCTTCCTCCCCAGACCTCAAATTATGTCCTGCTGTGCCCCATAGCATCAGGGTCTCTCAGCTGAAGCCCCCTAACTCTGCCCCTCTGGGTCCCTTTCAGGATCCTCCTCGCATTCCCTCAGGTATTTCTACACTGCCGTGTCAGAGTCCAGTCAGGGGCTGCCCCACTTCATCGCTCCGGGGTACGTGGACGATCAAGTCTTCGTTTACTACGACAGCAACACCAGGATGAGGCAGCCTCGAGTCTCCTGGATGGAGGAGGTGGGGAAGGAGGACCCCCAGTACTGGGACACTGTGACTCAGATAGTACGTGGCATTGAGGAGGTGTTGAGAGCAGACCTGGAGACTCTGAGGACCCGCTACAATCAGAGCGAAGGTGAGTGATGGGTTGGGTGGGTCCTCCTGCCCCATATTCCCCCCCAGGAGCAGGAGGGGAGAGAAAGGGAGTCCCTCCCAAAGGAAAGGCTGCTTTCACACTTTTAAAAATATTTAAAAATATTTTGTTGCTTAATTGAGCGAAGCGGTCATTAAGCAAGATGCCCACATGACTACTTCGCTCAACTACCACAATCCAGGCACTCCCAGTTGCAGTTGTTAAGCTATCTCCCAGGTTGTTAAGCGGATGGAGCAATGCTGAAGGATTTCAGCTCAGCATGGAGCTGAAATCCTCCCAGCAGGCAACTCTTTGAAAGTTGTTAATTAATATAATGTTATCCTTGCCCCATAAGTGAAGTTGTCTGTGCAGATTACAGTTACTAAAACATTTTAAAGTAAAAAAAAATTGCTCAATGACCAAGATGCCAGTTCCAATTGTAGTCATCAGGTGAGGACTACCTGTATAGGACTTTGTAAAACATATTTTAAAGAAGCGTTATCCTTACTACATCTCCAACAAAATGCTATTTTAGTCCTTTTCTATACCACCATAGTGGAATCCAATAAGTTCTAAATTTGTTGTATAAATTGTAGTTTAAGGTCCATTAACACTCTTGCTATAGAAGTTAAAACATTCTTCTATCGTCTAGGCAATATAGGAACCTCTAATTCTTTATTCCACTCATTTCTTAGCATCTGCATATCAAATTGATTTATTGATTAGGGTACACATTTGAATAAAATATATGTTCTGTTTTAGCTGGATACATCAAACACTAAGGGTCTATCATATAAGTCTTAATTGTTTCCCTCAGTAATGACTGTTTTTTTTGTGTGCTGGTGTATTTCTATCAAGCACAGGACCCAATATTTTCTTAAAATCTCCTCCTATTACCACTTTATCATAAATATACTCATTCAAGTGTCGAAAACATACACAATAGGAGAATCTAAATTAGGTCCGTAAACATTAACCATAGCTATTACAGTCCCTGCTATTTATATAAATAAACATAAAATTGAATAACGCCCATTTACGTTAGTAATAACCTGTTATATATCCATTGGAAATCCGTTTCAAATCAAAATAGCCACACCTTCAGCTTTCATCAAGGCATCTGCGAGGTAAACCCATCCCACTCAGTCTTTCAATAATAGAGGTTTATCCTGTTCCATTAGATGAGTCTCCTGTAGATAAGCAATATCTGCCATTTAACGATTTTAAGTATGCTAAGATTACATTTTGTTTCTTAGATTCTTTCAACCCTTTTAGCTTAAGACTAACTATATCCATTAATTTTCTTTTGGCCCACTTAACAATGTTCTTCCAATACCAATTCATTTTATGACCTGCGCCATTTAACAAATATCTAGTAATGAACTTTTCTGTTTGAATATTTATCATGTGTTCCAATATTGCTCACAGACACAGAACCTCCCTAAGAACTCAAATTAATATTCAAATAGCATTCTGTTACATATATGTGGAATCTCTACTTAAAAGAAGAAAAAGAAAAACATTATGTACAAGAAAATAAAACAGCAAACAAGTAACATTACTAAAAAAAATAAAAAGAACCCTAAAAAAGTAAAAGCAAAGAAATACACGACTTCCCAGTGAGACAGCACTATAGTTTCATCTCTCTTCTTGCAAGTAAATATACAGAACAGTTTCAAACTACTAATTCAAGCAAATATTGAATTAGTACAATTCAATACACATACAAATGTTATGTGTAAAGATAAAGATTACAGTTGGCAATATGGCCAGACTTTTTATTATGAAGTTAGCTGGAGTACAGAAAAAGAAAGAAAGTAAGCATAGAGTCTTTTAAAATGAGATTTTTTTTTCCAGCCCACCTTTGGGCAGATTCAAACTTCCCTCTCAATGGTTTCTAAGGAATGAGACACAATCCGGCTGTTGGCAACATGCCCAGATTTTTTTATCATGAAGTTAACCATCATAAAAACGAAGAGAGGAGTACAGGAAAAAAAAGCGTAGAGCCTTTTAAAATAAAGCTTTTTGCCGCACAAATTTCTGGTCTTGATGATTAATGCAGAATGTAGCTGGAAAACGCCTGAAATATTTAAGTTGTATTGATCTGGCAAGACTTTGTGCTTTTGCAAACAACCTTCTTGTTTGGGAGAAATCCGGGTAGATTGATCTCTCATTTTGGCTAGAACCCCACTTCAGTGGAGACCTTACTGATTCCTGGTGAAACATACATAAAATCTCATCTCTTGTGGTAACACGAAGGAATTGCACAATAATAATCTTGGAACTAGTTCCAGTCTTCCTACTTGTTAAAGGAATTTTAATCACATGATCAATCTTGACCGGAAAATCTGTTCCCAAAGGATGAAACTTTGTGAAAAAGTCCTCCATTAATTCAGCCAGGATTGATTGACGGAGGGTTTTCAATACCAATCACATGTAGATTTTTCCTGTACAATTGTGACTCTAAGTAAGTAATGCATTTATCTAAAATATTATGACTGGCTTGAGTAATTGTCTCATGGGCATTTAGCTGATCCTCATAACAAGCCATTTTTTCTTGCATCTGTTTTAAATCACATTTAAGCTCTGCCAGATCTTGTTGGATCAGCTTCAAGACTT